AAGGCCAGTGAGCACAGCCCATACTGGGGGAGTTCCCATTTCCACTTACCAGGCAGCTGGGAGGAGCCATAAGGAGGATGCAGGCCAACGACCTGACCCTTTTAGGGGTCTTGGCCCCTTTGGGAATCAGGTGAATGCTCACACACACACACACTCAGGTGCGCAGAATTCGGCGTCTGATTCCAGGATGGCAAGGATTGGGAGCACTCGGCCTCAGTGGGGGGAGAGGGATGGATGAAGAGGATCCCCGGCCTGTGTTGTGTTTTAAAAACTCACGAGGAGTATAGTCTTCACCCCTCTTTTCCTAGTTATGTTATCTGTGCAAGTGAGGGGGGGTCCCTTTCCCCACTGAGTGCTGGGGGTGGGGTCCTTAACGATACTTTCCGAGACTGGCCCAGGAGGAGGCGTGGTTTTTATTGCATGGAATTCCCCATCGCTGGGTTTCCAAAGTCCCATTCCCCTTCGTCCAGTCCTGGAAGGCGTGCCGGTGGGGGGTCGGCAGCGCTAGAAGCAGAGCCAGTGTCCAGAGCTTCCGCTGCAGGCTGGCTGCAGTCCATCGTCCACTGCGGGTGGGGTGCACAGGGCGGAGGGCCGTGTGGGCGAATGCGGGGAAGCCAGGAGAGCACGCCCCCTGCAACGACACTCCCCCAGAGCAGAGGAGGAGACCAAGAGAGCGCGCTTTTTTGTTCAGGGGATTAAGTACACAAAATCTTCCCGCTGGCAGTTGCCACGCCCATTCTGGCCAATGACCTCTGCTCCCAGGCGTGACTGGCAGTCAGCACCTTCCCTAGTGCCCCCAGCTTTACTGGGCATGCGTCTATCTCCCCTTTGCGGGGCCTGGGGGCATGTAAAGCTGCAACTTCCTGGGGAAGCTGCCCAGATGCCATGCCTATACCGGTTGGCCTTCCGTTTGCTCCTTTCCTGTTACAAATAACTAGCCAATTACAAGGGCATCAGGTGGGCAGCCCTGACCTCGCCTGACCTAGTGACCCTGCCCGAGGAAAAGTCCCAGGAAGCACCTGCAGCAGAACTGGGCTCTGAGTCCCCAGCTTCCCCCTCCACGGGGCTGCCTTTCCCTCTGACACTGGGGGTTCCTACACCCCAAACCTTCCCTGTGTCCCACATCTGACCTGCCCCCCCCCATGCCTTCAGTCTGCCACCAGGCTCTTCCCCCCTGTGCATTCCGTGCACCCACAGACTCACTCAAGGGCAGCAGTTCTCCCACCGACATGTGCATAGTATGACACAGGGAGCGAGATAAACACAGAGGCACCCACCCCATCTCGGTGTGAAGGAGGACGAGGGCCCAGGTAGGGCCTGGGAATCCACATGTAGCCGTCACCCTAAGTGACTGGGACCCAGGCCATAGCCAGGAGCCACAGGCTGAAGCCGCTGCTCCCCACAGTTACACTCTGGCCCTGCTCGGTCCCAGCGGTTCCGGATGCTTCCGGCCAGGAGAGGAGGCAGCCAGCATGGTGAGGGTCGGACACATGGTCACATAAAACCCAACAAATACAGGAACTGGCGGTGCAGCCGTGGACCTGGCCGGCTGCATCCAAATAGCTACAGCGCTGCCCCGTGGAGAAGGGGGCCCAGGTCCCCTCTGCTGTGTGGGGAGACGGTGGGGAGACAGCGCCAGGCAGGGGTCTGATGGCTCTCCTGGGAGCAGAGGGCAGGTTTGACCAGGGCGCACCCCGCCCAGTGCCCGGTCCCCACACTGCCTGTCCCTCCCCCACCCCCTCCCCTGCAG